AGTCAGTGTCAGGGTAGCTGCCTCCAGCAGCGTTACTTGGATATTTGGGGTGAGAGGATGAGTATATTGATGGATTACTCCCTCTGACCACTTTGTCTACCTGTTTTACAGTCCTACTGGAATGCTGTTTCCTTCACTGTGTGTTCACTAGTTTTAACAATTGTCTAGATATTATCTTCAGTAATCATTTCAAAGACCCCCAACTTTAGAAAATAGGCTCAGGGTTATTGACCCATCATCAATCTCTTCTGTTTGAGGTTATGCTCCCCTGACCCCATTACATCCCACTTTTCCCTCTTCTTGGAAGAGGACGTTGGAGCTAGATCAACGGTGAAGAGCAAGGTTGAATTATTGATGTATTTTAAGTCCCCTTGTACATGACAAACTTGCTCCAAAAGTGGTGAAATTAAAGAAACAATTATAGTAGCTTCTGTCTATTGAGTATCTCTTCTGAACTTGAACACTGATTTTTTTTTTTTAAGTTGGCCTACACTGAAATCACCTGGGGCATGATAAAAGATTCATGCTCCAATTGGAACCTCTGGAGGTACAGCGCAGGCATCAGTCATGTTTTAGAAGTTCCCCAGTGCTGCTCACATGCAGAGAACTTGAGAACCACTGCATTAGAGTGTTCTAAAGACTTTAGATACACAATCACTTTTAATCTTCACAGCTACCCATTCAAGGAAAGTACCATCTGTTTCCCCATTCCCAGATAAATGAACTACAGTTCAGAGAATTTAAGCAAGGTCTGGGGATCGCTCAGCCAACAGGGCAAAGCTGGGATTCTCACCTGGGCCTGTCTGCCTCTAGGCCCATTGCTCACCACTTTCTCAGGCTGTATCTCCAGGAAGCAGGCTGCTTTATCTGACAGCGGAGCTGATGCTGCAGGAAGCTTTGGCTGACAACACCCAGGATTGCTCCCAAACGGTGTTCCCCTGGCTTTGTCTGGGGAAACCTAATTGCTGCAATTGTGTTATAAAATTATCTCTTTACCCACGCAAATGGGCCAGAGTGGCCCGTTCTCTATTCTTGTGGTTGTCCCAGATTATTAAATGAGCAGCTGCCTCCAAATATGTTTGCAGCCGCCTAATTCGATGGCTGCGTGTGCTTGCATATTCATGGCTCCCAACCCACAGCCCAGGTCTGCTGGGCTCCTTCAGTGGGGCTCTAAAAGTTAATTTATCTTGACAATTTAAATAAATACACTTCCTTGGCTTTAGTGACTCCAGCAGATTTCAGGGAGTGCCTTGGCAGAGATGAGAGTCAGAGATGGCGTGGGTGGGGTGTGTTTGCTCTGGGTCTCCGGGTCAAGTGCAGAAGGAGTGACAAACCACTGGGGTGGGGGCACAAACGTGCACATTTGTCAGGCCTTTGCATAGCTCCGGTTTACTGAGTTCAAGTTTTGAGGATGTGGGTAAGCTGTTTGAGGCAAAATTGTGTTTTATTGTCATAGGAACACGCCACATGCTAGTTACCCTCTTAGCAAATTTGTAGGTGTGCAGCCCTTTGTTGCTGACTATGAGTACAATGTTGTATGGCAGACCTCTGGAGCTGTGTCAGCTTGTTTCAAGCTATGCCACCAGTGGATTGGTAACTGTCCGCTCCTCCTGCCCTCCCAGGCCAGAGCAACTACCCTTACTTCTTCCAGTCAGGGGAATCGTGCACAGTTTATACTTCCAGCACTGCGTTCTCTCACTCAGCATACTGTCCTTAAGCCTCATCCACATTGTCTCTTATGGAAGAATGTTCCTTCTTTTTTAAGGCTGAGTAGTATTCCATCTTATGTATATAGCACACTTGCTGAACCTCTGCCTGTACGGGTGGGAGTGGAGGCTGTTTGCATATCTTGGCTATTGTGAGCAGTGCTGCAATGGACATGGGACTGAAGACATCTCTTCAAGAACAGAGTTTCAATTCTTTGGGACAAATACACAGAAGTAGGGCAGCAGGCTCATATATTTATTCTATTTTTAAGGCTCCTTCCTTCTTGTTTTTCTCTGCAGTGGCTACAGCATTTTGTGCTGCTGGGCAAACCATGTGATGATTTAAACCTTGTTGCTCCTCATCCATAAAATGGGAAGAAATGGCTTGTTTGTAAGATAAGAGGGACAATCAGATAAAACTGGGCATCTTCCCAGACTTCTATTTTGTTTGGCCTTCATATACTTAACGCCTCTGGGACAAACGAATATTTATTTTTTTTCTCCTTTAAAATGACCCACTTCTATTTTTAACCTGAATACTCCTTGTCAATGACTTTATTAATAGCATCTCAAAATTCCCAATGACATTGTCCTTTTCTAATACACACTGAATTATTGCGGGCAACTTCACAGCAGCGTTGCCTGCTTCCTGGTCACCTCGGGGTTGGGTGGGTCACACTTGAGGCCAGTCCAGATGGAGAAGGATGAGGAAGGGCCTAGCTAGACACCAGGACAGAGGAAACTGTTGGTATTTCATTGACTGACTGGCATCTTTTCTTCATGCCAGCTTCATGTGCAAGGAAGATTTTTTTCAGGATCCAAGGGTGTTCTACCATTGAGCTAGATCACCTACCCTTTTCAGAATTTTTAGTTTGAAACAGGGCTTCTAATGTAGCTGGTCCTGGCTTGGAACTTGTGATCCTCCTGTCTCCGCCTCTCAAGTATCTGGGTTTACAGGTGTGCGCCATCAGGCCGAGCATGAGAAAGGTCCTAACGTGCTGAAGTCAGTGGGATTCGCCTGCTGAGTCCCTGTCTGGGGTGGCTGGGCCAGCCTAGCAGTTAAGAGGGGACACAGTCCACTTCTCCACTGGGCCAGACTGACCTCTGCCTCTTCCAGCTCTGGGGAGCAGCTTAGGGAACACACAGACCTTGCAGCCTGGCTATAAGGCTTAAGCCTCAGCTGTGCCAGCTGCTAACAGACTTGACAGATAGCTAACCTGACAGGGCCTCAGTGTCTACTTCTGCAAAATGGAGAGAATAGGAGCTTCCCTGCAGGCTGATTGTGAGGATCAAAAGACTTGCACGCACTGCGGCCATTAAAGGTTTGTTGAGGTAAAGGGGTGTTTCTTACACATTCAGATAAACTGATACGCATCAGTCTCTGGTCCTTCCTTCCTACCTTCCTTCCTTCCTTCCTTCCTTCCTCCTTCCCTTCTTCCTTTCCTCTCTTCCTATCTTCCTTCCTTCTTTCCTTCATTCCTTCTTTGTCCCTTCTTTCTTCTCTGCTTTTTTATCTCCTCCGTCTCTGTCTTAGACCCCACCCCTTAGGCACTGGACTGCACACACTCCTACAGGTAAAAGGTTTTGTCTCCCATTTCACAGGTGCGACAGAGCAAGCTGGAGAAAATACCTGGCACCGCGGCTTCTCACAGCTTGTGCACAGCTGAGCTGACATCTCAGCCCTGAATGCAGCTCCTTGGGTTAAGAGCGTCACTGTGGTGTCTGACGTTCACGTAAAGGATGAAGTGCGGTGGCTGGGATCACAGCCTCTGCCTGGCGCATCCCTCCGCGTTTCTGACCCGCAGCCTTTCCGTCTGAGACATGGGAAGGATAAAAGGACTTATCTCCTGAGGTTGTTATGAGGAATACTTGACACCACACCCAGGAAGTGGTACTCCCTCGGTACCAGTAATACAAGTTGTTTTTATCCTGAGCATGACAGAAAAACAACCAAAGTAATTGTTCCAGTGCAGGTGATTATACAGCAGCTGTGTCCTCCTATCGCTGCCCGCCAATGTGAGGTCTGGCTATCACACTGCCTGCAGCCTATCCACCGCCACCCGCAGGCTGTGGGGCCTTGAGTGGATTAGGAGCCCCTCTGAATCGCGGTATCTTCTCTTTCAAAGGAGAAGAATAGTAGGGCTTGATTTGGGGAATTGGAAGAATTAAGTACAGAAAACACACAGTAGGCTGACACATGATCCATGGGAGCTAATCATAAAGGTGAGCCATTATTATTATTATTATTATTATTATTATTATTATTATTACTATGAGTTCTGCTCAGTTCAGTAGCATGGACGTCATATTCCGGGGGTGGGGGCAAACATCATTTAACTTTTAATTTTTCTTTTAAAACATGTCCTACACTTACGTATTACCAGATGCTGCTTCTTTATTTCAGTAAACACACCTGGGACTGATGCAGATGTTCATGAGCAGCAGGATCGCTGTTCCCGTTCCTCACGCACATCGACAGCCCCAGCTGGGCTCTCTGCCTCCTTGGGAACCCCACGGCTCCAAGGGTGGGGTGGGCGGGCAGGCAGAGGCTGCGGGAGGCTGAGCAGGACAGGAGGAGCGCGGAGGAGGGCCTCCCGGGCTCGCCTTCTGTTCTCCCTCCCTCTGGAGAACCATAAATTACCTCCCTTTACTCGCTCTCTGCTGCTGCTGTGCAAATTAAATTCCCAGCCTGTATTTTAGATCCTATATATTGTTTGGTTTAAGCTAGGATTTCTTTTTCCCCCACTCTGATAAATAGAGCATTTTAATAACATTCACAGCACGACAAAGAGTAGACAGAAACGCGCAGGACCGTCCAGGTGCCGGAATCCCCGGGCACCTCGGAGATGGGTCTTGTCACAGCACACTCCTGGAGAGTGACTAATGCTTACGTAGGACAGAGTGTGAGTGTGTGCTGCCTCCGGGGACAGGGACAGCAGAGGAAGCTGAGTATTGGGAGTGTTTGTACTGCTGAGGAGGAGGGGAAGGCCAGCGGCAGGCAGGGCCACAGACTGTGCACCCCTCCTGGGAGGCACACGGGCCTGCGGGGTGGCAGCTGCACCATCAGCACCCTTGCGACTCTCCCTTCATGATATCTGAGGCTCTCTCACCTGTGCCAGAGACAATAGGGTGATGAAATGCACCCCATTTATCAAGGCCCTGCACTCCAGGCCAGGGACAGCTTTCCCTTTAGTTTTCCTTTCTATTTTTTTTTTTTTTAATGTTTACCCTCTGATGTCTGCAGAGGTCTTTGACATTAACATGCATGGTTGGTTGGCCCCTGCTCTGTGCTAGGTTCTACGGGAGACACAGATGAATCAGACACAGCCACTGCCCTTGCAGTGCTCACGGACCAGCAGGGAGGAGCGATGTGAGTTCAAGCAATAAGAGTTAAATAATAACGGCGCTGCACACAGAAGGCCCACCTGGAGCCTGGACTTGCGCTGAGCCTCAGCCATCCATTTAATAATTATTAATCAAGTGCCCAGTATGTGCCAAGAACTTCTTGCTTCTGATGCCTGGGATAAAATAATGAGCAACGCCAGACTCCTCTAGCGCATGGAGCTTTTTTCTATCTGACAGCAGTGGTGAGGATGGAGACACACAATAAATAAATAAACAAAGAAGCCTGATACACTGGAGGTGATAAACAATGCAAAGAAAACAGAGAGGAATAAGACAGCCAGCCTGAGTGGTCTGGGAAAGTCCCCGCCGTGAATGATGAGAGGAGAACACGCGGATGGAACACATAGGAAGATGCTTCCAGGCTGAGGGTGCTGCAGTGGGAAAGGCCTGAGCAGGTTTGGGCCGTGTGAGGAGCACTTCTGCCTGGAGGCCAGCTGCAGAGTGAGGGATGGAGCAGGGCAGGAAATGAGATCACAGAAGTGTATCAGACCAAGGGAGAACTTGGGGGTTGATTGTAAGAATGATGGAAATTTCCTGGAGGATGTCAGAGCAGAGGATTAATGTTATCTGATTCACATTCGCAGAGAATCACTCTGGCATGGGGTGGGAACAGAGTTTAGGGCCAGAGTGGGAGCAGATGGCTGGTGAGAGGGTGTACAGGTCAGGCACCACTAATCCCATCATACAGAGGGGGCAAGATGAAGCCGGGGGCAAAAATGCATCCCTGCTTTCAAGCAGAAAAACAAAAGGACAAAGCCAGGATGCTGTGGCGTTACAATTCCTGCCATTTGCCCCTGAGAACTTCCATCTCCCTGTTAGCCAGAGTAAAATGCCGAAAGGGACCTCACTGTGTGTGCTGCCGGTATCTCACGCCTGAGTTCAGAGGAGGAAGCGAGCCGCTGCTGATGAGAGACAAGCGAGGCAGAAGTGATCATCAGGTGACCCTCAAAGAACAGATGTGTTTGGTCCGCTGGAGAAAGAAGAGGATGCGTCCTAGACATAAATGGTAATGAAAACCAAGGCCAAGAACTGGGAAAAGAAGAAATGATGCAGTTCAGGGAGACTAGACTTTGGGGACCTCTCAGAGAGGCGAGACAAGAGACAGAGCAGGTCACCAGACACAATGGGTGTACAATGCTAATTTGAAGAGTTGACAGGGAAGCATGAAATGGATCCAGTCTGGCAGTGGCAACACACAGGCTGCTTTATAGTGAGAAGCCGAAATACCCCAGTGCTGGCTCCTCAGAGCACCCCCAGGATAGGGTTGGAGGATGTCCAGCAGGGGGATGTCCACATGCATCTGGCCAACTGGGCAAGGGGTGTGTCATTGTTGAAAGTAGTGAAAACAGAAGCAGTGGAAGAGTTCTTTCTCTAGAGATGGTTTCAGACATGGTGCAGTAAAAGATGGAGGAATTTGTTTTTGTCAGCACTCTCAGTATTTACAGTCAGTCACGTACAAACCTAAATACTTCAGAAATGTGAAATACTCATAATCCTAGGAGAAAACGTTTCCAGCGTTACCTGTGTTTTTCAGATGGGAGAACTTAGGCACACCAGCGTCCTTAGCGAGTAGAGTCCTGGATTCCAATCCAGTAAGTTTGGCTGGAGTTCCTTCCTCAGATAATCAAGCGATGACATCATCCTCCTGGATGTCAGTATCAAAACAGTGCTCTGCAGGTGATTGAGCTGCCCACATTGCTTGAGTTGAAGAAGACTGGAGAGGGACGGAGTGGTGTGTGTATAACCTCAGCACTTGGGAGGCTGAGGCAGGACAATCGGAAGTTTGAGACTAGCCTCGGGTACACCCCCACCCTAAAAATAAAAAAGAAAGAGACTTGAGTTTTTTCAATAACTCTATAATTTTAGGGGAGAATATCTGGCTTTACTCAAATCTCTGTGCTGCTAGAGATGGTGAACTTGAAGTACCTAGTAGGTCCTCCAGCTACCCCATTCCACCCATTGCGACGAGAGCGCTTGCAGCCTCCTGTTCACGGTCACATTGACAGCTCCTGGGAAGCACCTGGAGCATAATGACTGTGTGTGATCCACAGTTTAGTCTCCTGGCAGAGTCGGGCTCAGATTTGCCCGTCTCTTAGGTTAGAGGTTAGGTATGGGGGTTACAAACGCAGAATCTGTGGTCCCACTTTCCGGATTTGAACCCTAGCTCTGCCATTTGCTAGCTGTGTGACCTTGAAGACGTTACTTAGCCTCTCTGTGCGCCAGCCTCTCTGTTCTGCCCTATGCAGAACATGGATATTAGTAACTACCTCAGAATATTCCTATCATGGTGAAATGAATTCATACATGAAATCATTTTAAACAGTGCCAGCTCACAGCACACGACCAGCGAATTACTGTTACTGTTAGCTATTGTTGTTGCTACTCCCACTGCTATTCCTATGAAGCGTAGGTGGGTTGCCTTATACTTTGAGAGACTTTTTCCCAACCAGTCCTATCTCTTAGTCTCCCTCTTGAGGTCTCAGCTGGCTTCAAACCTGGAGCTATCCAAGTAATCAGTTAAAACCGTGACTATGATAATTAGGTTTCCTTGATGCAAGCCACACCATCCTCCTGCTCCTGTGCAGTGCTATGTTAAACCATGAGCACCAGCCACCTTTTCTTGGCCTCCCTGCTGTCAAGAATTTTTCTTAAAGACAGAAGATTCCTCCTGCTCCAGGATCTTTCCAGCTCGCTTGGGGGCCCAAACTGGAGGCAGGGCAGGGCTGTGCTTCTGCCCTCTGCCCACTTCCACCTCCAGGGCTGCTATAAAATGGGCACGGAGTACTGGTCCCTCAGCAGTTTCCTGAGTCAGGCCCAGTGGTGCACAGCTGTAATCTCAACTGTTCTGGAGACCGAGCCTGGAGGATCACAAGTTCAAGCTCAGTCTGGGCAGCTTAGAGACTTAGTGAGGCACTGTCCAAAATAAAAAAGAAAAGAGAACTGAGATGTAACTCAACTCAGTGGTATAATGCTTGCCTAGCATGTGCAAGGTCTGAGATTCAATCCTCAGTAACACATACACACACATACACACACATACACACACACACACACACACACACATGCCTTCCTGAGCTACAGGTTCTGCCTTCCGGTCCCTTTCACTGGAGAGAGACGAGGACCTGGTAAAGACCTTCAGGTGGATGAAGCTACAGAACTGCAGTTAAGAGTCTAGAGTTTTCAGCCTCCATGGACTGCACACTGGCCAGCCGTGAACACCCAGTTATGGGACCAAACCCAAATCCAAATGTTGCCATAGCAGGATTCAGCAGGCATTGTTAACATCAATGGACAAGTGATGTTAAGCCATGGAGCTCACCCTCAGGGGTGTGGGTGGGTTCATTTCATCAACTGAAAGCCCAACATTTTCCAGGTAAGACGATATTTTGCCTCAGGACTGTAACACCTGCTCCTGCTTGTCTCTAGCCTGCTGCCTGCCCTGCACCTTCACTCAGAGTTCCACAATAAGAGCCACTGCCTTAGTATAAATCTCCCACCACACACCACTTTCTGTCTTTGGAGAATCCTGGTGGATAATGAAGTCCTCCAAACTTACAGTAGCAATGTGGTCTAAGGCAAAGAGGTGGAG